AGAGAGAGAGAGAGAGAGAGAGAGAGGTAGATAGATACATACATACATACATACATACATTTTATGAAATCATTTACTCATTTCAAGGTAGTGTATAAACAAATTCCTCAAAATTCTTTTCAGTAATCTACATGATACATTTTTTCTATGTAAGACTATGCGGAATCCATCTAACCATTTCCTGCTTTTTTATTCCAACATATAATCACAAGACGTGTTGCTTTTTCAACTTATATTAATACCGCTACCAATAAAGGGGACAATACAATACTCATTTTCACCTGAGCGAAGTGAGGAAAGTCGTGTAAAGTGCCTTTCCCAAGAGCAAAAGGTCGGTGGCATATCAGGACTCGAACCCGGGACCTCTTGGTTCCGAGTCGAGCACTCTGCCCCTGCGCCACACGACCCCACGGCTGCTTTTGCCCCGCTGCTTATGCCCTTCCTGTCAGAACTACTATGACTTACTTGTAGACACACGGTGGATGTTGATGTTATTCCCGTTCGTGTACATTATGCCGTCGATGGGGGCGGGATTCCCGCACTCTGCTCCGTTCAGCGTGAAGAACCAGCGCGCACAGGATGCGGAGGACTGCATAACTTTGAGGGATCCGTTCCACGTCAGACGAAGGGCGGATGTCGGCGATGCCTTGTTGAACGCACACGTCTGTGGTTGAGGATGACGGGGGGAATGTTACGTCTAATTCGGATTGAGTACAGTATGTATGAATGTATGCATCTATCCCTATCATGTCCGTAGCCAGCAGTTTTAAGGGGGGGTCTTCCCACCGCTTGAGGGACCAGCGAGCGCGGAAGCCGTGAGGTTCTTAGGGATGTCTGGGGACATGCTCCCCGGAAAAGTTAAAAAGAATGAAACTTCTGAAATAGCATTTCCTGCGTTTTTGAGAGGGTTTCAAAGAAAATAAAAACAAAGATAAATTTATTCAATGACAAAGTGAGCAGTTTTTCTATGATTCCAGCCCCGCTGATGATACAAATCAGTCCATCTTCTGAAGAAAAATCTTCGACATATAGATAAAAACAATGGACCTTTGAGCGTTCGTCCGAACCCCTAGAAACCTACCCCCTAGCTACGAGCATGCCTATCTCTCTATCTATCTATACAATGTATCTATATCTGTATCTACGTAATCATCTATCTATCCATCTGTAGATGTCCCCCTGTCAGTCATTACCGGGAACAGAATAAAATGAAAACAGAAAAAAATAATAAGAATAAATACCACGATCATCCCAGAGTTCGCATTATTGTTCAGGTTGTTCCACACACACTGCTTCACGTTCCCCCTGGCCAACATGCCGGGAGGTCCCGTCTCCCCTGCACTGCCCTTCTCCCCGGGCGGCCCCTGCTCCCCTCGGTCTCCCTTAGCACCGTCCCGACCGTGGTTACCAGGGACGCCATTGTTACCAGGGACGCCACTGTTACCAGGGCTACCGGGGTTACCAGGGAGACCGTTGTTTCCAGGGATACCGGGTAACCCTTGAGGCCCGCTGACACAACTGCCACAACACTGTGTAAAACGGTAAAAATAAAATACACACCGGTAGAAGATTTGCATAGATTTAAAAAAAAACAAGGATGAAACATGCATTAGTTAAAGGTAAACTAAATGTGCATGATTTGAAGATTTCATTTTATGTGTAGAATATGGATTTCATTATATATGTTGAATATGCACAAATGATGAACGTAGACAGCTGCTATGTTAATGATCAGCCACCAGATAAAAACTAGTCGTCTGGTACGCGCTATACTACTACTTGTAGCATCTTTGACTGCGCCACTCGATGACGCCATAAGAATGCCCAAATTTCTGTGCACTCCTTACTGCACGAAACAAAAGCTTCGTTAAGTCTCACTTATAAACAAATAACGTCCTAAAATCTTCATAACACCAATAAGAAGCATATTTTAGAAACAGTTTCTGACAAATATGTATTATTCCATCAAAAATTCGTGCTCTTTTTTGCACACGACACAACCAGGAAACAAATGTAAAAAAAAAAAAAACTTCACGCGTACTTTTTACCTGAACTTTTAGACGACAATAGTGCTGATTTTGGAACAGCTAGCCTTTGTTGGTCGTAAGTTAATAATGTAAGATGGGCATTGAGGATGTACATGTCATTTTGATGATTGGCATTGATTGAAATATGATGTCCTTCAAGCACATTCATGCAAAATATTCACATTTTTATGTAGGTGTAAAACTACACCTACAGGGTATTCAGTAAAAAGGTTCAATGGAATGTCAAGTCTTGATACGCTGTTTATTTAAAATTTGGACATACACGTCCAAATACTTTTATACCTCGTAGTCTTAACCATTAACTTCTAACGGAAGTTAAGGTCCCGGGTTCGAGTCCTGACATGCCACCGATCTTGTACCTTTGGGAAAGGCACTTTACACGACTTTCCTCACTTAACTGACCTTAAGTGAAAATGAGTATTGTCCTGTTGCGTATTTGTCCTCTGCGTTGGTAACGGTATAAGAAAAGTTGATATACATTTGTAACTTGAGTGTGCCGTCACCATGTCCAGTCATGAAATGTTGGAATATTTAAAAAAAGGTAGCCCCCCCCACACACACAGACACACACACGTTTGTAAGTTCATGTGTTCCTCTCACCTGTCCAGTCCTGACGTCTTGTCCGCGGTTTGTCTGTGCGAAAATCGCCGCCACAAGCCCCACAACTGCCAACCACGAGTTAACAGCCATTACGTCGTTCCAATGGGTCTACTAAAAACTGAATCGTTCGTGAAAAAGTCTTCAACGGTGTTCCAGTCTTCCTGCTGCTTTTGACGACTCTGGCTCGGGTAGCAGGTATAAATTACTCCATGTCACGTGGGTTTTATTGTCTACTGTAACATGACACTCAATTGACAATCACGTCGTCGGAACGTACTGCGCCTGCGCGAACTCCGTAAAGTATTGTTCACGGCACTTTGGCAGAACGTCCCGTCTACAGTTTTCAAATGTTATAGGGGGTTTTATTTGAAACACTGCACAGCCCACAGGCTGAATTACATGTCCCGTACACTGTATAAAAACAGCTTGTGACAGTACAAGTATTCCTTGTGACAATACAACACTAAAGGTTAAAATACCAGCTTCATTAAAAGTACTAATTAAAAATCGAAATATAACGGTATGTACGTGTGGGGTTGCATTACGGAGTACTGTTTCAAAGCTGAGCGAGGTAAGGCAATTTTTTCTGCCCGCCTTGTTTTCGCCCTATCGCGTTAGATTTGTGCTGAGGAAGTCACCCATAAGATTACAGTAACCTGTTGTGGTCTTACACAAAGGACAATGTGACGTACGCTCACGTTATTAGTTTTTTTGCTACACCACATACCTGTACACACAAAAACAATAATCGCCACTCCCAAGGTTGCAATTCACAGATACCTAATTACGACGAGTACGAAAATGTAGTGCTTGACTATCTATTTGACGGACATGTACATTAGTCAAATAAAGATAGGAGCGCGTGGTGTATGGTGCCTTCATGATATGTTTAAATATACTAGTATGTAGTTAAATTCTAACATTGTCATCATAATGTATTATCGGAGAACCTTTAATAGCATGGCTTTGCCAAGTTGCCGCAAAGTTCCGATCTCTGCTGACCATATAAGGGACGTTGAAGCATAAAATGTAAAATGGATTCGCTAGAGCACCAACATGAACAAGAGGCACTGATACTATGGACTCTGACAAATGAACTATGATTAAATGAATGAAGACCATCGTACATTTTTACCCCACGTGCTGGGCTAAGCACAGGTCACATATGGTTACATTCGTGTACATATACAAATACACACACATATAACTGTTATATGTTACATGTATATATATATAAACGCCTAATGTATTCTATTCTTTTCGACTTCCTCTCGCTTCTTGGTAATTGTATAAATATATGAGGCTGTATATGAAGTTAAAATTGGTTTATCAAAGGCTAATAGGAATATGAATTTTTCTTTACTTGTCAGGTATCTCAAGAGTGGAAATTTACTTGAAACATGACCGAAAAGTATCTGTTTATGAAGGACAATCTACGGTAAAATGCACTTCGTCCTTTACTCTACATAGACTACAAAATTGAGGAGTGCGGTTATGTCTTCCTGATTCGATTCGCAATTTGTGTCAACTGATCCTTAGTTTTGTAATGGTGGATCTATGGCGAACATTTGCTACCTTGAGATATTAAAAGAGCACAAGTACTAGTACCTATACGAAGAAGGTCATACTGTAGGTACATTATAACGGGGCCGCAGTCACAATATGGGAAACGAAAGGGGCGTTAAGACTTAAGTAGTAGTTTTATAAGATAGGATAAACGTATGTACAACGAAAAGAACAAAAATCAAACTCCAGTTCATTCCAAGTGCCGATACAATAAGGAATGAAAGACATGCCCGATTTTGAACGGGGGGTTCTTCCCACTGCTAGAGGGGACCTCGAGCGCCGTAGGCGCGAGGCGAGCGCCGAAGGCGCGAGGTTCCTAGGGGGGGTCCGGGGGCATGTTCCCCCGGAAAATTTTGAAAATGAACCTTCTAAAATGGCATTTCGTGCGTTTTTGAGAGGATTTCCAAGAAAAAAAACAGAGATAAATTTTTATTCAATGATAAAGGCAGCAGTTTTTCTACGATTCCAGTCCATCTTTTCAAGAAAAATCTTGGACCTTTACATAAAAAGTGGACCAAAAAAGTGGACCTTTTCATAAAAAGTGGACCAAAAAGTGGACCTTTCAGCCTTGTGGGGGGGTTCTTCCGAACCCCCCGAACCCCCCCTGGCTACGGACATGAAAGATGAACGTTGATTTGTACGTTGTTCTCAGGACAAGCTGGAATTGAAGGTTTAGAAGAAGGAGTACTCACCATAGTCTACACATGTCCGCCCGCACTTGTGATCGCACAGACAGCGGTAGTCCCCGTCACACTCCCCGTCCTTCACGCAGGGCCGCCCGCAGGCTTGGGTGGAGGCGTAGAAGGAATCCCGCACGCACTGATCTGAGGGGACAGCAGAGAGATACTTCAGCATCACAATAACTTAAGCTAATGGGGTTGTGTGGCGTATACGTAGCGACAGAGTGTTAGACTTGGAACCAAGAGGTCCCGGGTTTGAGTCCTGACATGCCACCGATCTTGTGCCCTTGCAAGGCACTTCACACGACTTTCCTCACTTCGCTCAGGTGAAAATGAGTATTGTATTGTCCCCTGTGTTAGTGGCGGCATTAATATAAGTTAAAACAACTTGAGTGTGCCGTCACCACGTCTTGTGATTACATGTTGGAATAAAAAAAAACTCAAGCTACGTTTTCTTATAGTAGCGTGCGTAGTTCAGTGGTTAGCGACCCTGCCTCGGATCAAGAGTTTGGGAGTTCGAATCCCGGCTGTTTTCCCTCACATGCACGCCACTGGAGGAGGTCGCAGTCCTTGGAACAGAATATTAAGCCGTGGCCCACTGTTCGTTGTGCTTGTCGAAAAGAGCTAGGGGAATTTCCCCGGTACAACGAACCTGTAAATACTGTCAAGACCAGTGGAAGATTAGCTCTTAAGTGAGCCAAAACTGGATCGAGATCATTTTCCTTTTTACCTAATAGATATAATTCTATAAATCTGGATTATGAATTGATTTGACAACTTGATTTTGTAATTTGCTCCTTTTGTTCAGATGCATTATGTTATTGTTTGTCATCATTATGTTTTCAGTTTTATCAATTTCTGTTTACATCTCACAATCTACGTCATAAGTATAAAGACCAATACCAAATATTAACTTCATGAAATATAGGCAACAACGTTTTAGTTAAATACTCTGGGGTCATGTTTAAAAAAAAAAACACACAGTAAGCTCTTTCACAGACTGATACAATCCCCCCAGATATTGGACGTACCTGCAACTGTGGTGTGGTAAGTCACCACACCGAGAAGAATTACCCAAACGGTACCAGTCAGGAAAGCCATGGGGAAGACACTAAACCAGAGTGGCGAAGCAACACATGAAGTCAACAATTGAAACACGCCGAAAATTCACAACAATTGATAATAGTCTCGTCCTTATCACCACACTTATCTCTGTTTTTGTGCAGTTTTCCGGGTTAGTCCCTGCGTGGGCACCTGAAGTTCAATCAAATCTATTCTGTTGCAAGTGTCATTTAGTAAGTGGAGACAAAATATGACGCGTTACGACTGTTTAAAGCTTAAAACACAGCTGTCAGCCATGTTTGTTGTCATTCTTGAAGTTTGTGGTGGCACCAAAAACTGATTTTGTGGGCCGTGTGGGCTGTTTTAGCGCCAACCATAAATGTCAGAGATGGAGTTTGTAATCACAGGGAGGTTTTTGAATTAATATATTTCAATATTTGGTTTTAAAAATGTCACAAAACGCCTCTTGAATAGCTCCACTTAAGTTCGCGCTGACTTAAACTAAACATTCCCCATACATTCCGAAAAGTGCAAAACACTAAGTCGCACTAAACCGTTTAACGTCATTGTTAACTGTTCAGTCACCCCCAGCCCGAACTGTTTTAGATTTAGCTGATGCCAATGTGGTGTAAATCCTTTATCTTTCAAGGTCCACTCTCGAGTTGGTCCGATGATTTCAACGCCTTAGTTTGGGGGCTTCCTGTTGATGGATATGGACCATTTGTAGTACAACAGTCCTTCAGTGGCGTGGCGAAATTCCTCTTCAGACCTCAAGCCTGGCCATTTGTCAAATTGTCTCCGTTTCTAAAGCACTTAAAGGGGAGGTCCAATACTTTCAGTTTTGGGGCCTTTCTACCAAAAATCCTATTTGTAAATGGTGATTTATTGGTTTCTGCCAACCCCGCATATATTTGCCGTGATATCTGACTCGCTCGATGTTTCGCGGCTAGCGCCAGATTGTCCGCTAGGCGGCGCTGCGACTGGATCTGTGACGTAAAAGGTTTCATTGGAACAGAGTTAGTACACAAGAAGAGCTTCCACTGGCGGGTGTGTTCAGACCATTTCGAGCCTGGATGCTTCACGCGAACGTCAGTCTCAATTCCTTTCTGTTGGGCGTATGGGCGGTCGATATAAATAAATCCGTCAAAGGGTCGAGTAAGTTGCAATGTAAACAGACTGCGGTATTCGCGGTACCGACCTGTTAGATACAGGCTCCTGCACGCCCTGTCGGATCAGATCCCACCGAAAAATCAGCAACGTTCGGAGGTTTGCCGGGTGCAGAATCACATCGAAGTCAGGGTGGTTTCTAATGCATGGGTGGTCTGTACCGACGTTCTTTTCAGTGTCTGTCAGCTCTGGCAGGTCGTGACAACAAACACTCTCCCGTACAGAGGGCATTTCCAGGCAGTTTCTATTGTCTTCGTTTCCACACCGGCACCAATCCCGGTTCTCCAACCCTCTGTCTCCACATCAACTCCATCCCAAACGTTCTCATCGCCTGGATCGGGGTCAGAGTCACCACTACTGTCCGTCTGTGGCTAAAAACGGAAGGGTTGCACGCCCGCCATTGTTGTTTACGCTAGTAGCAGAATGAAACCTTTTACGTCACAGATCCAGTCGCAGCGCCGCCTAGCGGACAATCTGGCGCTAGCCGCGAAACATCGAGCGGGTCAGATATCACGACAAATATGTGCGGGGTTGGCAGAAAGCAGTAAATCACCATTTACAAATAGGATTTTGGGTAGAAAGGCCCCAAAACTGAAAGTATTGGACCTCCCCTTTAAGGCCTCCTTATGTGGAGAGCTTCCCTCCGTTCTTTGCGACATGGGACAACATTCTCACAGCGCCAGGGCATTAAATCATATTGTAAAAATAAAAATAAAAACCATAGTTACTCCTAGCGTACAATTTGGAGGCTGGCCGCCAAAGACTTCTATTCGTTTATTGCTATAGAAAGTACAACTTGACTGATAGCTTTTCGTCTCCTACAGTATTCAAAACACAGTATTTGCAAAGTGAATTCGTCAACATAAGACTACTTCCCTTCCTTTAATATCATCCAAGCATTAATATTAATTAAGGGGACTTTATGTGCGCCACCCGTATCCATTGGCCGCCTGTATCCAACTTTCGCCCCACTTAATTTTTTTTCGCGCAAACAAAGAAGGCTATATAGTGACATTTTCTCATCTATTGTGCAAATGAGGCCGTGATTTACACGATCTATATGCCCAATGAAGTGTACACCTTCACATCTAAACACCGCTAACCGATATAACTAAGGAGAAAATGATTTAATTCTGTAACTGACGGAAATTTCATAGTTGCGGCGTTAGGTGAACATGTTCATGTGACGTTAACGTTAACGTATTCAAATCAGGACACATAAATTTGCATAATTTCTGAGGAAATTAAACACAAGGCTGTTATGGGGGGGGGCATGATGAACTGATATAATTGATGCAAATTAAGAATCTCATTTCCAGAATCAGTGGGCATCCTTTATAATTCTATGGTAATTCTAAAGTTTGACATCATTCGGCGAAGGTATGATATCGCGGAACTCTAGTTGCTCGTTGTTTTGTTTTGACCGCATCAGACTGCATTTGCCACATCATCACCCGTGATTCAACAGACAGGCTAAAGAACGAATAATATAGCCAATATATATCAAACCAAAGTGTGCAAAAAAATACATGTTGCTTTCTTGTAACTTTTGCGCATTGATATTTCTCAGAGGGGATGTACAACCGACCGGGAAAGTTTCTCTTCACTTCGTTGCTTCTGATGCGGTCTAACTAGATTCAAGATGGCGGCCGCTGTGAACGTGTTTTATTTCGTGTCGTCTGTAGTTTGTTTTTTCTGTCTCACCATAGCGGAATTATACAGCGAAGAAGACGCAGTAGTACGACTCGAGGCTGCCACACTGAACAGAACTATTTACAATGTACCGAATTTGTTTATAGTCGAGTTTTACTCCAGTTGGTGTGGACACTGTATCAACTTCGCTCCGACATGGAAAGCTCTGGCCAGAGACACCGAAGGTAAGATTTTATAAGAAGCAAAAATACTTTTTAAAAACAGTTATGCTATTATTCTTAATGCAAAAATAGCCTTGTAAAGTGGGAGGATTTTAATTACACATAACAAAATATACTTCTTCATACCGTTATATTATATCGGGAACATAAGTTATTTCTTGTGAAGTGACAGCTGTCACATGCAAATATTTGTATGAAGCTTGTAGAGTTTGGAAACCGGCGAATTGTCCAGGGTAGTGTATCAAAACAATGTCCATAGACCTTAGCTATGGCAAGGATATAGGAAGGCCTCCTTGGGTGTTTGCTTGTATATTCATGACTTAAATCATGCTTAAATCTACCATATCAATCAATAGTTTGTTCTTATAAACCTGCATTTCTCCTCTGGTCTCTCAGTCACTGACGAAAGCTAGTGGATACTAGCTGAAACGTCTGACCGTTTCCAAAATCATATCCAGTTGCTTGAGTAACTGCTTTTTGGTGTATCTTATTACTTGGATGGCTAACCTTCATCGACCTAACCAGAATTGGTTTCATATAAATTTCATGAGAAAAGTAAAAGTGGTCTCAGACCAGGTCCTCTTCCACTTGTTATGGCAGGGTAGACAGATACTACTTCCCTAGGTCATATCAACAAGTAAAACATGCTAACTAAGTAGCTAGGTCCACCTTTTTAGTGTGAGGTGGAAAATGTGGCGTCACGTGGCGTAATAGGTGGTGTCAGGTGGTGTAGCTGCGATGGTAGGGCATTCGGCACAAAACCCACTGGTCCCGGGTTCGATTCCACCTACGTGCCCCAACGTCATTAGTCAGGGTATCATCCAGATTTTTCTTCCGCAATGCTCAAAAAAAATTTTTTCCCACATGTTTTGCGGAGCGAAAATCCGTACCCTGTGAGGCCACAACGTCATGTCCTGCGGAAAAGCACTTTCAGGACTTTCCTCACTTCACCCAGGTGTAAATGAGTACCTAGTAAGGATATCCCTCAGATAGGACGTTAAATTAAGAATGTTGGTGGATTCGAACAAAGTACCTATGGGTTCTGTGCCAAGCACTCAACCATTATGCCACATGATGCCACATCTACATGTAATATCTAACGTAAATACATTTAGTATCCAATTTTACCTCAACAGAGAATGCTAATTTCTGATCTCTCCCATTATTTCCAGACTGGGCAGAAGTTATCCAGCTGGCAGCTCTGGACTGTGCTGACAGTAAAAACCTGCCGACATGTAGACAATATGACATCAAAGGATATCCTACCATCAAGGTAACAAACTTAACTGTAGCTGTAGGATGACTACATGTATATTACCTTAGTACATGAACTGTGAGTTCTCTCTCTTCTCCTGCAAGAAAATGCAGTGTGGGGTCGTGTGGCGTAGCGGTAGCGCCTTTGGCTCTGAACCAAGAGGTCCCAGGTTCAAACCCCACCTTGTCACCGATCTTGTGCCCTTAGGAAAGGCACTTTACATGACTTTCGATCACTTCACTCAGGTGTAAATGAGTACCTAGCTTTGGTAAGGGACGTCCCTTAGATACCTGACATTAAATGGAGGTCCCGTGTTTGGGGAGAGACATACACCACGCACGTTAAAGAACCCACCACACTTATCGAAAGAGTAGGGGGCCTTCCCTGTGTGAGTGGTTCAAACCTTACAGTCTGGTCTCGGGGTTGACAACTTTGAAGAGGTGGTAAATCTTCTTAAAAATAAATATTGATAAATAAATAATATGTATGGGTATGTTTTTTTTTTTGTTTATTATTTTTCTTGCCACAAAATCACATCACTATAGTAGTAGGTATGTTTGCAGTCAGTGTGTGTTTGTTTGTTTGTTATTATGCATTTGATGCAGGAAGAATTTATACCTCTGGCAGATGATGCAGCAGATAACATTTTCAACTGACAAATTATAAAATGTTACTCAAAGTCATAGTCTGATTATGAAAATGTTATACACTTCTCACTGAGCACATTGTGCTATCCGTGACATTCCATGACCCAAGCATGTCTAGATGGCGAGATATCAAATTCAAAAGTGGAAGTTTCTTGAGAATATAATTAACCACATACACTGCATACAAACATACAATACATACATACACACATACATGTACAAAGGTAAGTTAACCAAAAACATAACCTTCTGGCAAAGGTAATAACACAAAAAACATAATTCTAACAGACTGATAAGGGAGTTGTTGTCACCATGTACAATTACTAGTATGATAGATTCATTATTATTGATGACAAGCATTTGCCTTTAGGTTTAAGCTTTACTCTGTTTATCATGACATGCATGTTCTGCGTCTCTCTGTCTCAGGTGTTCCAACCTTTCACACAGAACACAAGTAACATTGGAAAACCCCTCAAAGGTGAGTAAACAACAGCTGCTTAAACATGTGGGACTGTGGTGGAACAAGTGCACACTTACTTACACATAGCAAGCTTTGTTTGTGTTCAAATGTTCAACTCTTTATACACTTACCTTGAACAAAACAGAAAAACACTGATAAAAAAGGTCGTTATTTTATCTTCCAAGTACACATAGTAACAAGACTTTGTGAATCTCATACCTCCATTACATATTAAGAGTCATTGCACGAGAAAACCAGGCAATGGCCGGAACATGGGGGTCAGCCAAATCCGCTCATATTTTGTATGTGGGATAGGTATGGGGAAGTATTAACAGCCATATGATTAAAACTCCCTGGGTGTGTTTTGTATCAGAGTTCTGGAGACCCCCTTGGAGACCCTCAAAATCCTCCAGATTTCTTATCAAAATTATGAAAATTGCGATCGCTGCCCCGCAATTTCTATCAAAGAAAACAAAATTGCTGTTTGATTTCCATATATACCTATGTCTTACGTCTTTCATAACAAAATTTGGGACTTGGGCATTGATGTTTAAAGGGTGTACATGGGGGTTGAAAGAACCAATAAAAGCAGAATTTTGGCACCTTTAAATTTAGTCATTTTTATGAGGCATTAACTCCGACTCACAGTGGCTTTGGTGAACACTTTTACTTTTTCTGGATAGAGGAACATCTACTTCGTAAAAAACAATTGTCATTGACGTGGGACACACATACTGGGAGTCGTGGGAGGAGGGTCTTTTGGGGGATTTTTCGTTTTTTAAAAAATGGTTAAAGAAGCAATGGCATGTGATTGCACAGAGAGATTCAGCCGGATCTTTACCCAACTGAATAAAAATGATGTAGATGCAATATGAATACTGCCACAATGCAAAGAAAGTCATGTGGGCTCTGCATGGGGAATTTGCGGATGCTTGAAATAGAATTATGTTCAATTTGTACATATATTTTCCCAATATTGTCGATACTATTTTTGCTGGATTGATTATTGAAATACAGTGGTATTAATAGCTATTATCTAGGAAGGCCTCAATGATCAGAGGCTCTGTATGGGGTTTGGAGGACACTAGTCATGTAACATGCTTTGATAACTGGGCGGTGAAAGCTTAGAAACACGTTAAGACAGTTTACACCTAAAATGCTTTATTTAATCTGTTCATCAGCTAAAAGGTAAGCTATTGCATTTCACTGTACATAAAATATGCCATTTACAATGAAAACGGATTCCATATTGGGGGTAATAAAACACCATGATGATATTCCATGACGTATTTAAAGACTGTAAAAACTGTTTAAATCAAATACTTCAACTTAGTGGTCAATAAGAAGTATGTATGACGATAAGAAAATAATAACTACTTTAAAGAGACAAAACGGGCTCTGCATGGGAGTCATAGATATTCTTAAGGTAGCACATAGACTAGTTGTACATAATTTCATCTAATTTCCCCTTCTCATACAAATTCCTTTTTAAATCCAGTTGCACATCAATAATGCAATCCATAACGTTAACATTAAAACAAACCTGTCTCTGTGTTAGTAGGGCAGAGACACTCAATACTTTTTAGGACCTAAATGCCTTGTTCACCTAAAACTTTCTCATTTTTATAAGAAAAGAATAAAATCACCCCATTTCTAGACAACAAAAGATACTTGAACACTAATGACATAAAGATTCAGTTGATAAACAAGACAACAAGTTTATAATGCCATTTTGGCATTCATGATATACATTTAACTGCTGTTAGAGCCTTAGTTCTTACAATACATACACTTTAGTACGTCATAGAGCACCAAGAACATACATAAACTAGTTTACGCATGAACAGGACTGAACAATGCTATCCAATGGTCCTATAGTATGTATGAGGCTTTCCTTGACACTGTACCTGTCACAGGCAGATGGAAATGTCTTTGATATTTCGCAGTTCTTTCAGCTTGAATGTTTTTGAGACCCCTTGTCTTTGCAGCCTCACATATATTTTATGCTTTCAAACATAAGAGGATGGCTGTAGGCAATGTTCTGATATTTTTTTGTCACGCAATGTCTGCCACTCCGCTTCCACTTCCAAAGATTCAATGTCCTCATGGGTGACAGAGTCTGGGCTTTCTTGACGTCTCTGTGCAGCTGACAGCCTCGCAAAGTAACTACTGATCTGCTTTGCGCTCCTCCATTCGCTAGGCTCGAACAACAGCTCCCCATCTTCACCTCGTGCATACTGCATGTCCTGTGAGACTTGTGATGCGTCTGCTGTCTGACCAGACGTGGCCCCATGGTTAAAGATGTCAGTTCTTTACTTTCTCTGACTATTCTCTGGCCTTCTTTTGACTATTTCGGATTGCCCAGCCTTCACTGATTGACGATTTAAGGTGGTTCCTGCGATGTCAGATTATTCTCCAGCCTGCTGTGTACTTAACTGGCCATGAGCTATTCCAGTGATAGCCTGAGCCCATTGCTTACGTATCATATGTGGATTCCCGCTCGAGTTCCTTAGAATGTTTTCCGACATCCAAGTGTTTGTCCAGCTCACTGGTTGATTCGAACGTTACCACACACCCTGACTCAGGGCAATGGAAAGGACTTTGCACCTTCACCCGATGCTGTAATGTGGCCTATGCGTGGTTGTGCAGGATCAAACGGCTGTGTGATGATGAGCGTAGGAATATCCTGCACCTGTGGAAAGGCACCTGTGTTGAGAAGGGCACCAACTCTCCTGTTCCGATGTTGTAAGCTCTCATACTGGAAGTTATTCAGTGCTTTAACTCCCTCCCATTTCAGCCCAGAATGCTCCCCGCCTGAAGCCATTTGAGCCACAGCTATCCTGCAACCCTTGACTCCGCCATGTGATTCTAGAGCCTCCTTCATGTCTTTGGCAGTCAAGACATTGTGCTTCTCGTTTACATAGCGTCTTATGCGTCTTCATGGTTGCGATTTTTCTGTCGCAGATATTCTTGCCTGCCTGTGGGTCGGAGAAGTCATAACGCAAGACGGTGATACCAGTTCTGCGACCAATCATGGGTAGGGAGAACAGAAGTGGGGCACAGTGGTAACAGCCTGCGTTGTAAGACCTTAGGAATACCTTTGTGAGTGCTGGTTTCTCGGCCTTGATATTGTGGAAAACATTTTCCAGTATAGATGCCACTGAGCTCCAGTCCTGTCGGCAATTGTCGACGACGTGAACAAAACACTCTACAGCATGTTCTCCATCATGTTCCATGGTTATCACCGCTGTCACGTGCCAGCTCTTATTGTGTTTGCCAAAAACGTTTTCCCAGAAAAGCATTAATTGGAACTTGAAAGGAATAGAATGGTGTAATCTGTCTTACGTTCTTGCTAAACTTTCAGCACCCAGCTATCAAAGCATGTTACATGACTAGTGTCCTCCTAACCCCCATACAGAGCCTCTGATCATTGAGGCCTTCCTAGATAATAGCTATTAATGACACTGTATTTCAATAATCAATCCAGCAAAAAATAGTATCGACAATTGGGAAAAAATATGTACAAATTGAACATAATTCTATTTCAAGCATCCACAAATTCCCCATGCAGAGCCCACATGACTTTCTTTGCATTGTGGCAGTATTCATATTGCATCTACATCATTTTTATTCAGTTGGGTAAAGATCCGGCTGAATCTCTCTGTGCAATCACATGCCATTGCTTCTTGAACCATTTTTTAAAAAACGAAAAATCCCCCAAAAGACCCTCCTCCCACGACTCCCAGTATGTGTGTCCCACGTCAATGACAATTGTTTTTTACGAAGTAGATGTTCCTCTATCCAGAAAAAGTAAAAGTGTTCACCAAAGCCACTGTGAGTCGGAGTTAATGCCTCATAAAAATGACTAAAATTTAAAGGTGCCAAAATTCTGCTTTTAATTGTTCTTTCAACCCCCATGTACACCCTTTAAACATCAATGCCCAAGTCCCAAATTTTGTTATGAAAGACGTAAGACATAGGTATATATGGAAATCAAACAGCAATTTTGTTTTCTTTGATAGAAATTGCGGGGCAGCGATCGCAATTTTCATAATTTTGATAAGAAATCTGGAGGATTTTGAGGGTCTCCAAGGGGGTCTCCAGAACTCTGATACAAAACACACCCAGGGAGTTTTAATCATATGGCTGTTAATACTTCCCCATACCTATCCCACATACAAAATATGAGTGGATTTGGTTGACCCCCATGTTCCGGGTTTTGGTGATGTTTGCCTGGTTTTCTCATGCAATGACTCTTAAAACAAATTGTTTTAATCTCAACCCACATTTACAAGTATTGTATGTCTGGAAGTTATCCTTTTGCAAAATTTCGTTTTATCAGGTGTCTGCAAATACATAACAGTTACATTCAGACCTTCCTTCTTATAATTACTTGCAGGTCTAACCATCTAGCATAGTGGTATCATATTATTGATATTATACAGATAAACTTGTGTAAAACGACCCTCCAGGGGACTGTGGAAAAGTCGTGTTCTTAGACAAAAAGTATTGTAACGAGACAAGACAGAGAACAAAAAGAAAAACGCTGCAAAATTTCCACCCATTTTGCAATAGACTGCCCCATTGACCCAATGTGACCCAACTGGAGCCAGTTTACATGTACATTGTGCAACAATGTCATTGTCAAAATAATCAAACTGGCAGATTCCATCAAGATTTGTCACTTGATATCATTAAAAAAACAGTTTCTGCCACATGCTTGCAATTGTCATGTTGAAAAAATGATGTGGTCATCATAGGCAGAGATTTGGTCATGTGGTGCTCGCAGTTGCGTTGGACAAGTTGTCAGCTTGTAATTGTAAGCCAATCCCTTAATGCTCACGTCTATACTAGGGAAAAATCAGGACCAAGAAAAACAGTTATCATGGCCAGATGTCCGGCATATACAGGCTGTTAGTACTTGGGAAAGTTTGACAGTTTTATACATGTAGCCAGTTGAGTACAAACACCCTTAAAGTTTATGTTGTTTTACTGTCCTGACATTGGACTTCTTGACATTATGTTTGCTTTAGGAAGTAGAGCATCAGACAAGTTGGTCCATGCCATGGTGGATGAAATAGAGCATCAGTCTCAACTGAACAAACCTCAGCATTGGCCAGACCTCCAGCCTTCACAGTAAGTACTACTTGTAGTATCCTACTCTTTTCTTATACACATTGTATCCAGTACTTCTATCACCTTGCTGTTCCTAGCTTCTGACTGGAATACTGTGATACATTCTCACTGCTAGATATTGCCAAAGTAGAAAAATCAGAGGTCCAGTCAGAAGCTCTGAGGAGGGTGTCTGATTAAGACACCAAAATGTAAGCATTTTAGCAAGAAAAGTACCAGTTGTGTATATTAAGAAAATATCTACCAATGTTCTATCAACTTGATAAAATTATTTTACATTATATTACATGTATTTATGTAACATACTAAAGGCAAAAGTAAAGCATCTTTTATGCAATTGCAAAATATGCAAAGAAAAAGACTACACCACAAGTATTGCATGATTAAATTTTACAGTATATCACAGCTATATGTACTGTTTACAATTATCAATACATGATAATATTGTACCTAGTAATGTATTGTATTGATAGTAGTTTGTAGTAAGAACTGTAAGCTAGTTTTGTAGTATTGTTGTCTTACTGCCACACATTGTACCATATACGATTGTTGAGCAATAAAGTTTATTACATTCATTCATAAATGTTGTATTTTATTATACAAGTATGTGACTCTGTTTTACCTCTCCAGCTCAAGTGAGGTGTTGGAGTTTTTCCAGAGATGGAAGAATGTGGAATATCTTGCACTGGTGTTTGAAGGCAATGACTCGTATGTAGGAAGACAGGTATGTACATTTAGTCATATTTCTGCATGTATTTACCTGGAATGTATTCTTACACTTTTTTATCTGTAAAAATGATTACTGACTACTACATTTCTCAACAAAACACATCTTTAGGCCACACCATTTTTATATGCTTTCTGTTTCTCCCAAACCTCTGATTGGGTTTTGTCTTCTGAAATTTTGCTTATTTGTCCAAGAAACCAAGAAAATGAGCTGGTGTGGTTTAAATATACAAGTTTTAAGACCTGCAACATTAATTGTTAACTCATTCATCGATTCTTTATTGCTTATGTTAGTTTCAAAGACAATCATATCTGTATAGTTTGTAAGCAGTTAAAGTGTATCATGTCTTAACTTATTTTACAGGTTATTCTTGATATGGCAAAATATAATAACATCATGGTCAGACGTGTCCTGAAAAATGAGGTAAGCCTGGCATTTTAATTGATTTATGTTATTATATATCATTGTTATCATTAGATATCATTAAACACCATCCACACAGGTGAACATGTCTGTCCTTGGTACTGAACACCATCCACATACAAGTGAACATGCCTGTCCTTGGTACTGAACACCATCCACATACAAGTGAACATGCCTGTCCTTGGTACTGAACTCCATCCACACACAAGTGAACATGCCTGTCCTTGGTACTGAACACCATCCACACACAAGTGAACATGCCTGTCCTTGGTACTGAACACCATCCACACACAAGTGAACATGCCTGTCCTTGGTGCTGAACACTATCCACACACAAGTGAACATGCCTGTCCTTGGTACTGAACTCCATCCACACACAGGTTAACATACTTGTCATTGGTACTGAGCACCATCCACACACAGGTAAACATGACTGTCCCTGTTACTGAACATCATCCACACACAGTTGAACATACCTGTCCCTGTCATGCTTCGGTCTTAATTTAAAAAAGGGGTCCTGCCGGTTAGTTCACTGGCTGTTTTTTGGCACTTTCGAACGTGACCCCTACGTGGCCCCGCGGGATACCGTGCGGCTAACGGGCTATTTTTGGGCCCGGGGGGGACCCGAGAAGAATTTAATTCTAACTTAAATTCTACCGGGCCCCGCTGACAAAAAGACGCTGTGACCTCACCGTGAGAAGACCGAGAGGTACCCCTCTGGTTACCGGCAGTCCACTGGTACACATTTGTTACGTCACAGACCAGATGAACAGAATAAAAGGTAGTGTACTTTGTTAAACCTGAGTAAAATGTGTGACGTTTACAGATCAAATGATCACAACAAAAGCGTGAATTCTGCATCAAGTATAGGTCAGTACAAGACATCGTCAGAGAATCTGCCGGGTGCCTGCCGGAGACCGACCAAAGAGGGTGACAAGATTTTTAACAAAATGCTAATGAAGGAAACTTCTAATTGTGACCACGACAGCCGATGCCCGCCCGACTCCTGAGTCCGACCGGGGCCAGTCGGGGCTATATCCCCGACGGGCACCGGCACAATTGGGACCGAAGCATTACTTAACACCATCCAATTGTAGGGGAACACACACAGGTTTATGTGCCTGTCCTTGGTACTGAATGCTATCCACAGGCAGGGGAACTTGCCTGTCCTTGGTACTGAACACCATCCACATACAAGTGAACATGCCTGTCCTTGGTACTGAACACCATCCACACAGAAGTGAACATGCTTGTCCTTGGTACTGAACACCATCCACATACAAGTGAACATGCCTGTCCTTGGTACTGAACACCATCCACACACAAGTGAACATGCCTGTCCTTGGTACTAAACACCATCAACACACAGGTGAACATGCCTGTCATTGGTACTGAGCACCATCCACACACAGGTAAACATGACTGTCCCTGTTACTGAACATCATCCACACACAGTTGAACATACCTGTCCCTGTCATGCTTCGGTCTTAATTAAAAAAGGGGTCCTGCCGGTTAGTTCACTGGCTGTTTTTTGGCACTTTCGAACGTGACCCCTACGTGGCCCCGCGGGATACCGTGCGGCTAACGGGCTATTTTTGGGCCCGGGGGGGACCCGAGAAGAATTTAATTCTAACTTAAATTCTACCGGGCCCCGCTGACAAAAAGACGCTGTGACCTCACCGTGAGAACACCGAGAGGTACCCGGCAGTCCACTGGTACACATTTGTTACGTTCACAGACCAGATGAACAGATAAAGGTGTGTACTTTGTAAACCTGAGTAAAATGTGTGACGTTTACAGATCAAATGATCACAACAAAAGCGTGAATTCTGCATCAAGTATAGGTCAGTACAAGACATCGTCAGAGAATCTGCCGGGTGCCTGCCGGAGACCGACCAAAGAGGGTGACAAAATTTTGAACAAAATGCTAATGAAGGAAACTTCTAATTGTGACCACGACAGCCGATGCCCGCCCGACTCCTGAGTCCGACCGGGGCCAGTCGGGGCTATATCCCCGACGGGCACCGGCACAATTGGGACCGAAGCATTACTTAACACCATCCAATTGTAGGGGAACACACACAGGTTTATGTGCCTGTCCTTGGTACTGAATGCTATCCACAGGCAGGGGAACTTGCCTGTCCTTTGTACTGAACACCATTCACACACAGGTGAACATGCCTGTCCTTTGTACTGAACACCATCCAGACGCAGGTGAACATGCCTGTCCTCGGTACTGAACACCATCCAGACACAGGTGAACATGCCTGTCCTTGGTGCTGAACACTATCCACACACAAGTGAACATACCTGTCCTTGGTACTAAACACCATCAACACACAGGTGAACATGCCTGTCCTTGGTACTGAACACCATCCACACACAGGTGAATATGCCTGTCCTTGGTACTAAACACCATCCACACACAGGTGGACATGCCTGTCCTTGGTACTGAACACCATCAACAAACAGGTGAACATGCCTGTTCTTGGTACTGAACACCATCCATACACAGGTGAACATGCCTGTCCTTCGTGCTAAACACCATTCACACACAGGTGAACATGCCGGTCCATGGTTCTAAAAATAGCAGAAGAAACATGACAAAAGATAAAATTTCATATGGCTTGGAGTGAAATGTAATAAGCATACTTAGAATTACTCTAAGAGTGCCTAAGAAGTCACCAGAATGACTGAACATGACTAAAAGTAACACATGTGCCATTCAGGAACTGCTGATGAAGAAGTTTGCTGTGGAAGCCATTCCCTCACTGTATGTGATGTACAGAAATGGGTCTGCTATACAATTAGCCAGGTAACACAGAACTTTCATTAGTTTGTTATACATGCGTGAATGAAAATAGGACTGTCTATAGCAGACAAGTATGCAGACAGATTTACATATTCTTAAAGGCACTGAAAGCAATTTTCAGGTCATTTTTAAAAATGTAGTAAGTTGAATCAACCCTACCCCACAGCATACTGATGTCTGTGACTGTGAGAAAAAGGTGTTTTGGGGCTATTGCAAATGCTTTAAATATGATGAGAATTTTGAGGAAAATGCGCTATTAATTGGCACTAAATGCCAATATCAGACAGATTCCTCGTCTAGAATATATTTTTGCTTGTTCTGTTGCCCTGAAATTGCATTGAATACCTGCAAACCAAAGGTATTTATGTGTTTTACTATTTTTAACTAAATTCCATCATTGTTGTAACAGTAGTAGGATGAGCAGAGTTTCAGTTTGCATTTGAAATAGCAGTAACAGTTTCTGTAGTAATGCAATGCAAGAAAGAATATGATAATTGTATGTTAGTGGCCTGGCCTTTTACTGCAAAAATTGTATCTCTACTATACATACATGTACATGTACCACACCACTGGTTTGCCAGTGTTTTGATATGGTGCAATGTTGAAATGTTCCAGGGGAGGAGAGACAAGGTTTGACTTCAGACTGGCACTCAAGAAGCTGCCAAACCTGGACAGGACCCAGAGACAAGAAGACCAGCTCATACTGCACCCCCCTGTACCTGTACCAGTACAGGAGACAACTACTGTAGCAAGAATACCCACCATGGCCAGTGTTAACAGGTAGGCCATGAAAGCTCATCCTTAGTTGTAGAGTTTAAAGTTTGTTCCAGCACAAAGAGACAAACTCACCATGGATTTTCATTTGAACTTGATGTCACCTTTAGTGAGTGAGTGAGTGAGTGAGTGAGTGAGTGAGTGAGTGAGTGAGTGAGTGAGTGAGTGAGTGACCTTTGGTAGATGAGTGAGAGTGAGTGAGTGAGTGAGTGAGTGAGTGAGTGAGTGAGTGAGTGAGTGAGTGAGTGAGTGACCTTTGGTAGATAAATAATCCACCACACTGACTTTTTGAAACTTTAAAACTTTATTCACACACCTTCTTGCAGACAATAAGTCTGAATTGACAAGCGTTTACAATGAAATAGGTTAAAAAAGCTAAAGAGTTGAAATAGACAATCAAACAAATTCGGTTTAAAATCAATAAATATAAGTGTGATAAAAATTGTATAGTCTTCTATATATAATATAATTCATGAGGTCACGTCGGTATTTACAGATTGTCAGTTGAAGTGTTTGTTTAGCAAGTTTGTGATGGTAGAGTTTTTTCTGAAAGCATGATGACATAAGGGGTGAATAAAAAGTGGTCGGATGTCACAGTTCACAGAGGAAACTCTTATTGTGCTAAAACTGTACAACCACAAATTTGTGGGGTATCAAATGTACGTATGATAACTGGCAGATCAATATAAAAACAGCTTGAAAGAAAAGTTATGTAGTATACAGTCATTTACAGTTTTAAGGAGTGAATATAAGCTTTAAGTCATCTTTAAGTCTTCTGTGCTGTAGGTCTGCAGTCCACATGACAGACCTGTTGTCAGCCCTGACGTACTCCTTTAAACAGGAGATAGCAGGACGACAGGTGTTGGAAGGGCAGACTTTACAGGCAGTCAAGGACTTTGTCCATGTCCTAGCCAAGGTATGTGCATCTGCCTCAGTTTACTGTAATTACCTCCATGAAATGTGTCATGGAGGTTATATTTTCAGTTGCGTTTATCTGTCCGTCTGTCCGTTTGTCTGTCTGTCCTTCTGTCCGTCTGTTGGTCAACAAGATAACTCAAGAACGCCTGGATGGATTGGTTTCATACTTGGTGTGTTGGTAGGGTGTGACGAAAACTGGAAATGATTAGATTTTGGTCCCCCTAGTGGCTTCCCTTGGTACTGCAGCGCAACTTCCGGTTTTGATATCTCGCGATCTGGACATGCTAGGGTCATAAAATTTTGATGGAAGGTAGCTCTCATGCTTGGGAAGAAGTCACATGAGTTTGGGCCCCCTAGCGGCTTGTTCTGGAACTGCAGGGCACTTTCTGGCGAAATGTTTAAAAGCCAATAAGTCCAGACAGGAACAACATATTTTCATTATTTTTGGTGTGTAGGTAGCTGAGAGAGAGATGTACATAATTAAATGCAAATTATGCAAATGAGGACTTTATTTGCATAATTAATGAGGAAATTCTATAATTACAGTGTTTTACATTATACTACTTACATACATGTAATGTATGTAACCTATGGCAGGCGGAACTTCAACAGATACTAATTATGCAAATGATGACCTAATTTGCATAATTAATGCGAAAATTCTATGATTTCGTAATGGTGAATGATGAGAATGTCATACTTGGGACATCTGTAAGTTAATCAAAAGTTAACATACATCACGATGCATATATCATGTTAATGCAGAGGTCATTTCCACAATTAAAGAAGAAATTTACATTTACATATCAAGATCATATTTCATGGAGGTATGAGATCTCGGAATTCTAGTTCCTAATATTTTACCTCGATTAAGCCCCGGTCACAACTCGCCGTGCGTGCTTTTTGTCCATTTTTTTTGGGAGGCCACGTCTTCTACGTTTTTCTGAAAGCGTGGGGAAGGAGTGGCGTCCGACACACGACACTTGCACGGTTGCGCAAGGTGTAAGAGTGTGTTCTGCACGCCACGTCTGGCCGTGAGCGGTTGCGTGCATCGTACGTTGCACAAGTGGTAAGTGAGTTGTACGTGCTTACAACGTACGATCTCTGTGCGATTGCAACTTTACCGTAAGGAGGCCGTACTCACACATGCTTCTTATGTACAGCACGTACGGGGCACGCGTGTCGCCCGTACTCGTACTTACGTGTCTGCGTGCTCCCAAATCTGTACGGAGGCGGTACTCACCACGTTTGCCCACATTTTTGCACGTAGACAGCACGCAGATGTGTGTACGGCGGGTTGTTACCGATGCTTAATGGATTATGAGTGGGATATTGAATCAGAAGTTTTATTACATCTTATCTTGTATTATATTGTCTTGTCTGTATGTATGTACCTACATGTAGGGCCACTCTGTAAAGAACACAGATAATAAATAAATAAATACTCACAACCTGTTTTTACATGTATTGGAAAACATTAGGTAATAGTCTGTTAGAATTAGCCAAAAAGTGTAATCCAGGCTGTAATTATGTTCATCCCTTGCAGTACTTTCCAGGACCACCAGGGGTCTCTACATTCCTACACAACATCAACACAAGGCTGCAGCAAATCAAGGCCAAGATGACGTACAAAGAGTGGGCACAGATGTTAGATGAACAGGAGGTACACATGACAGTTATAATTCTATGCCATGTTGCTTTGCTACCCTTACTTATCAGCAGAAAGCAATTTAACTTTAATTATGTATTGATAACAGTTAAATTTTATGTGACCAACACAAAGTAAATTGGGACTTACCCCAATTTACTTTGTTTTGGTCACATAAAGTTTATCATAATGTTATATAGTACCAACACAGATGAACTTTCATGTTAATTTTTAATTGTTTAATGCAATGAGATAATAATATTAATAATATTATATGCTATGGGATAGGATTGATTCAACTTAACAATAATTTAATACATTATGTCCTACACTACAATTATCCTAATTTTTCTAAGAGTACAGACCAAGACCAAAATATTCTTCTTTAACTACTCATAAGCCAAAATATTCTTCTTTAACTACTCATAAGCCAAAATATTCTTCTTTAACTACTCATAAGCCAAAATATTCTTCTTTAACTACTCATAAGCCAAAATATTCTTCTTTAACTACTCATAAGCCAAAATATTCTTCTTTAACTACTCATAAGCCAAAATATTCTTCTTTAACTACTCATAAGCCAAAATATTCTTCTTTAACTACTCATAAGCCAAAATATTCTTCATTAACTACTCATAAGCCAAAATATTCTTCTTTAACTACTCATAAGCCAAAATATTCTTCTTTAACTACTCATAAGCCAAAATATTCTTCTTTAACTACTCATAAGCCAAAATATTCTTCTTTAACTACTCATAAGCCAAAATATTCTTCTTTAACTACTCATAAGCCAAAATATTCTTCTTTAACTACTCATAAGCCACAAATTTTGGAAAAGGTCAATGCCAAGACATTCATGTAGTTTTAAAATATAGTTTTAGACAATTTCCTCTTAATGTAGATTTTGTAGTAACAATGTATTTTGTACTCTGTTTCAATGTTCTTGTCCCTGTCATTTTCAAGACTTCTTTGGGCAGGGATTTGCAATAAACTTTATCTATTAGGAGGATGACCAGGAATTCCAGCTTTTCTACCCTGAAATTCCTGTGGAAGCATTTAAAGCCAGGTACATGTACATTTGTACATGTATTTGATGCTTACTATAATTATAATGTCCCTGTCCAGGCTGTGAGTGCCCTGCTGGGTGAGGTGAGGTGGGTGGAGTGTCGGGGTAGTCAGCCCCACGGCAGGGGTTACTCCTGTTCACTGTGGCTGCTGTTCCACACCCTGACTGTACAGCAGGCAGCTCACACAGGTACAGCTTCATGTTTGTCTCTTTTATTTTACTCCATACCATATGTATGGAGGAAATATATTGTTTTTTCTCAGATATGTTTTTATTCTCATTCTCTTGACATTTCCAAGTCGTTTGGTGTGATATAGCTAGCTGCCGCCGCGCCACGTGCCTGCGAAGCTGGTGTGTTACGCCGAAGGGCGGTTATACTGGCTGTACAGATACAGATACAGATTTCGTCAATCAGATTGATTATTTTTTTCAAATGACCTGAATTTTGGTGCTGGGATAAAATGGGCAATGAGCTTTAAACAACAAAGGAATTTGCACTTACTACTACTCTCTACAGATTGGCTTTGGTTCACTCACATTTGGAGGTTCTAGTATAAGCTGAATTTGTATCTTTTGAATCTGATATCTTTTGATATCTTTTTAGGTATTACCAGCTGTCCATGTAATGTCATAGCAACAGCCCGTGGCTCACTCTTCATGCCTGTTGCTTTGAAGAAGAGAAATTTTCCTGTCTTGTCAAACATCTCCACACGGTGGTTTCCATAGTCAGCCACAATGATGTTACCCTGTCCGTCTGTACAGATGCCTTGGGGATGCTTTAGTTGACCATCACCACTTCCCTTACCTCCAAACTGGAACAGAAACTGTCCATCCTCATTGTACACATAGACACAGTGATTCTCACAGTCTGACACAAGAATGTTCCCATCCCTGTCCACAGTGATGTGCACTGGGTACTTCATCCCCTGCTGCTGACCCACAGTTCTCACAAGTGTTCCATCTGGCCTGAACACCTGAACTTCACATTGTCGGTTGTCCCTGTCTCCTGTGGTTTGTGTGATGAGGATGTGGTTCCTCCTGGTGTCCACGGCAACTCCTCTGGCCCACCTTGTCATTTGCAGGTCAAATGTCCTAAGTACCACGCCCTGATTGTCATACTGAACAGCTATGTCAGTGGAGTCTGTGTTCCCCACCACCCACAAATTTTCCTCCTTATCAATGGTAACATCATGCGGTTTCATCTTCTCTTCACCTGACACAACTGTTGGGAACTGGCTGAGAAATGCTCCCTGCAGGGTGAAGACTTGGACTCTATAGTTTTTGTATTCTGTTAAAAAGACCCTCTCGTGACAAAATGTACCTGACACTGTAACACCAAATGGATCTGACTCAGAAAACGAGGGGTCTCGATCAAGCGATTCAAATACATGTAATGTCACCCTCTGTGGCTGTTGCTCCCTTTGCCTTTGGTTACCATGGTGATGATCTGTGCCCCATGCTGCATCCTCACGAGATACAGGTGCTGCTGGGATTGGTGCAGATGGGAGAGACTGGGTGGATTGCCTTTGGTTTCCATGGTGATGACCTGTGCCCCTTGCTGCAGGTGCTGCTGGGATTGGTGCAGATGGGAGAGACTGGACCGTCACATGTCCCAATACTGGCACGGGGGTATCTGTGGGCTGAAAGACAGCAGGCTGGGTTTGTACAGGAGTTGGTGCTGCTTTTCTTCTGTATTTTCTTACCACCTCTGTCAAAGCCATTTGCTGACTGAGAAACTCGACCCATTCCTGCTTCAGTTCTTGTTCTGCTCGATCACAGGCAGCAGACAGTTCATTGATATCTGCCAACACTCTGTCCCTTTCAGTCTGTATTCTGCCCAAGTTTTTTGTGTGGTTTTCTGTTGATTTAGACAAGAGGTGGTCTCTTCTCTCTGTGAGTTTCTGCACCATTTGGTTGTAGGCCTGAATGATGCTGTTGTCTCTCTGCTGTTTCTTTTCATTCAGGGTTTTCTCCTCTTCCCTCAGACTTCTGAGGAAGCTTAAGTAACTTTCCACGATGTCCCTCCCCTCATTGATCAAGGCCTGGACTGTTGCACTTCTTTCCTGTGCAGCTTTCTTGACGGTTGTTGTGAGATGATCATCATGAGTCTCCTCTAAACACTGTGTACAAATTGGAATGTGACATTGTTTACAGTAGAGTTTGAGCACCTCAGAGGGGTGAGAGCTGCACCTGTTACCAGACTGATGTTGTTCCCTTGTTTCCCCTGACTGTGAAGTCTGTTGTTGCAGTCTCTCACACATACTGGCAATGATGTGACTGTCGGGGAAATCTGCGACCCCCTGGGGTGGCAGTCTGATTTTCTGACGACATATTGAGCACTTGAAAGTCCCTCCCCTCCCTGCAAGGTCCCGTAGACAGTCCTGATAGAAGGTGTGTCCACAGGGCAGCACCTTGGGCCTAGTGAACAGCTCCAGGCAGATGCTGCACGACAGTTCTTCCGCAAAGTGTGTCCCTAAACTGGACGGTGCAGCCGCCATTTTGCTGTGTTTGTCAAACTTGTGACGTCTAAGCTGTCAAGAGTTTCAGTTCCGCTCCTTGCCAGAATGGCAATTTGTATTCAGGATTTTTGTTTACACTAATTGGGGTCTGGCTTCACCTGGCAAAGTAAACAACACTAGCTGAGTGTCTCAGATATGTGCCCTTGACAGGAGAGAGTGCTGGGTCCCTAATTTAATAACAGGTATTAACTACTAGAAACAACCACCTTTTTTGTCTTGTTAATGTGGCTGCCCCACCTCAATCCAAAGTCTAGTTTGGACCAGATTTGTTGTTGGTTTGCAGTGTTCGAAATACCTGTCTGCAGTCTGCAATCTGCAGATAGATTTTCAAGATTGCAGAAGAAAAATTTATACAATCTGCAATTTTGCAACAGGAAAAATTGGCACTTGGGATTTGATGCTTTTGGCCCCAAGGACAGACAACACTTAAGCTCCTGTTTTGAAACAACAGGAGCTTCTTCACTAATTTGCATCAACCTTGTCTTGACTTGTTTATCTTTTGTTTCCTTTTGGACTTCCAAAAATTTGTCTTCACTAATTTGCACATGAATCAATAGTTCATGCTTATAAACCTGCAAGATTGTAGTATGGAGGCTTGTGTATTTGCAGAAAGTATTTCCAAATTGCAGAACAAAATTTTTACTCTTCTGCAATATTGCAGAGCGCTGAAAAAAAGTATTTCGACCACTGGTTTGACTCAAAATGCGGAGGGAGACTGAATTACCTTTTTTTTGCCACCCTGTATATATTCCAACCCCAGGGAATGTGCTAAAAAGTGACTTCAAATAGGAATGTTATAAAACATTTTGTAATTTTAAAAGGGAGTCTTAAGTACTTATAGCTTGTATGCAATCAGAAAGATGTGTAAGTCACCCCTTCACTGATGTTTGAGTTGGTTTAGCCCAAAATTGATGATTGATAACTAACTAAACAGCTCTACATGTGCTAGTCATGTGCTTGTTCACTCTTAGAAAGTAGAGACTGATATGATAACTAAAGATAACTCTTTTTTGTAATTAACTCCAATTCCTGCATAATTTCCATTTGAAGAGAGGTCAAGCAAGCCCATACCCAAAACCAGCCCTGTGTTTTATTCTCTGTTCAAAAGATTCATGTGTTAAAACATACTATATTTAATTTTTCAGGATGGAAACTTGCATGCAGTTCTTTACCAAGTCAACAGAGGGCATTGTTGAGTAACACTTCCATGGCCAACCTTTTTTCTGTGCAGGAAACAATTACATATAGTAGTCTGTACAAGCAAGGAGCTTTACCTGCACCCCAGTTTCTTTGCACACACAGTCAGCTATCAAAAATTGAATTGCAGGGCTCGAAATTCATTTTTGGAAAAAGGTGCACTGGTGCACCCAACCTAAAAAAATTACATGTAGGTGCACAATTTTTTTGGGGGGTGCACAATATATAAAACAAAACCTAACAACAGATCTAACTGCTCCTGTTCTAAGCTTAAACCTAACAACAGATCTTACTGCTCCCCTTCTAAGCTTAAATCTGAAATGGGAGCTAACTTCAAAATCTTAAACAAGTACTACAGCAAAGAATTTACAATGTATTATTTTTCTGGCACTTAGATGCCAAGAATGCCCTCTATACTATCATACATGTACAAAAATAGCTACAAAAATATTTGGGTGCACTGGTGCACCACCCAGTATTTTGAGCCATGAAATGTTTGAAGGAAATGTTCCTACTCCAAGTAGTACCATTCTTAATTTCATTTATTTTCATTCTCTCCTTTCTACATTAATGCTAGTATATTTTAAAGATACAAGGAAGTTTTTGGTCACCCTGGTCATACATGTTGTACATGTACATGTCATCCAGTGTGTGACTGGTTTATCATCTGACTTAATGTTGCATTTAAAGGACTGGTACTGGAACCCCTTCCATGCAGTTTGATTTAGCTACAAAGACAAACTCTCTTATTTCAAACTGATGCTATGAAAAGAATCATGATTACAAAAGGAAAGAACACAGTCATTATCTAGTAAACATGATGCAGTCTTACATCTGTAAAGAATTTCATCAGGTTGGTAAACAAATGAGTAGCAAAGTTCTTTGATCACAACTATTTATTTTTTACGAGCCGACGTTCCGATGACCGTCTGTCATCTTCATCAGGGCAATTCTGACTGGTTTACTGTGCACTGACGCTAGATGTTACTTGGTGCATAGTGCACTAAAGGTGTTACATGGTTCACAGTGCAGTGTTAACTCTGAACCCAGTAACAGTGCACTGTGATCCATGTAACACCTTTAGTGCACTATGCACCAAGTAACATCTAGTGTCAGTGCACAGTAAACCAGTCAGAATTGCCCTGATGAAGATGACAGACAGTCATCAAAACGTCGGCTCGTAAAAATAAATGGTTGTGATCAAAGAACTTTGCTGTAATTCATGATGCAGTCTGTAACATGATTGTCACAGTTTCTGCTTGTTTTCTGTTGAAGATGGTACCCAGAATCCCCTGGGCGTCCTGCTGGCCATGCGAGGTTACATCACCACTCTGTTTGGCTGCCAGGAATGTGGGAAGAACTTCCAGAAAGAAGCTATCTCCATGGAAACCGAGGTGGCTACCCCGGAAGACGCCATCTTGTGGCTGTGGAGGACGCACAACCGTGTGAACAGGCGGCTTCACGGGGACCTGAGCGAGGATCCACAGTTTCCCAAGGTGCAGTTCCCTCCACCATCGCTCTGTCCATCCTGTCATCTGCCATCACAGAAGGACTCAGAGCCTGTGTGGGATGAAACACAAGTCCTGCAGTTCCTCAAAAGACGTTACGGCTCAGAAAACGCTATATACGATCACCCCAGCCCTCAGGGGAAAGATTTAGTCCCCCATTTCCACGTCCAGCCGTCCGCGGTGCAACAGTCGGACTCTGAGGAACTTCACAAGCAAACCTCCCAGGACAGGTTGGTGGGACTCCATGTGAAGGATTTACAGGGTCGGCTGCAGAGAAGGCACGATCCCAACTTTGGTGTCAAAATAGAAAAACTGGCAGGAAAGGAAAACGGACTGAATGCGTCAAGTTGGGGTTTCTCCAACCTGGACATCAGTATGTGTGTGATGTTGTATGTCCTGTCATCTGGACTAGTCGTGGGTCTGTATGTCATGTTTATTGTCAAAAGACGGCGCAGAAGAAGAACACCACTAGTTTAAGAAATAAATTAGAAAGAAATTACAAGCTCCTGCCTTCACGTCTCAAAGATGCTCCACGCCAGAATGATTCTATGGTGCTTCTTTGTAACGACTGCAGTACAGCTTGCTTCTTTTGTTGCAAACAGAACATTTTAGCTTATTAACGCAGTATGATGCAAAATTCAACTAGCACTAGTACAGGACATGTTCACACTTTATAATTACTAAAGTTACAGAAGAGTGTTTCCCTGACATTTGAGATTTAAAGTAAAAGTTAGGCCATCCTTATTGTGCTCTCATACACCTAACCAAAGAGCTGACATGGCCACATACAGTTGCTTTTAGAAGTGTAACTTCCTAGTAAACATTCATGAGATTTGTTATTTAATGTGTTGTACATTGTAAGAAGGCCATGTTTAACTCATCTGAGGGACAACAGTGCAATAGCTGCAGTTTTAAGCCAGTATCACACTGTCAACAACTTTGGACTGAATTTTGCTATCGCCAAATTTCAAGATTACCAAAGAGCCAATTTGCAAGCATATTTTTGGCTGGAAATCCACTGTTACATTGACGGTATCCTAAACCTAGCTACAAATGTATAGTGCTGCTTTTTAGAGCTGATAGAGCTGTTGGACAAGTTACATGTAGTTTCATGCTGTGTGATTCTGGCTTTAAGTTTAGGGCACTTGGGAGATTATTGTGGAGAATTTTTGAATAAGAAGTGCAGTTCTATGTGTACATGAACATGTTCTATTTCACTTGTAATCTCTATAATTACCATTCCACAAAAACATTACATAGAATACTACATGATGTATTCTATATCTCCTAATAACGTACCAGGGTGATGAAGAATACATCGTGTTGTATTTCATCTATGTCGTATCCACCCAGGAAAACACGCATTTCAGTGCAAAATGTGCCAAAATTTGGTGTCCCTTAACCAAAAAAAATTGTTACAGCATCAATTCCAACTTCCAAATTCAGTATTTCAATTTGTCAGCACACGTGGAATGGATTTTAATCAATCTATCATAAGGCCACACCAATTTAATATGTTGGTTCCCGGATTTTTTCAGAAAAATATGAAGCGATAGGGCAAAAAATAAAAACAGGTCGGGGCATCCTATTACAGCCCCAAATTTTATGATACATGTAGGAGCCATGAAGCCAACACAAAAGGCTGAGTTATTATTTAAACTGAATTTTGAATTTTAATCAAACCACTGCATTGATCGATGGACAAACTGTAACACCTAGGAAGAAAAAGACTTTCTTCAACTGTTGGGGGCAAAAAATGAACATTTTTAGTTGTTTCAGAACCAGAATCCTGTCCCATAGGCCACCCCAAATGCAGCATATGATAGGAGCCATGACGTCAACATACCAGGCTGGTTTGCAATAAAAACAATGAATTTTAAACTTTTAATCAAACCACTGCATGGATGCATGGAAAAACTGTATCAACTATGAAGAGAAGGGACTTCCTGCAACTGTTAGGGTCAAAATACAAGCATTTTGGAGTTGATTCAGAGGCTGAAATGTTTGTGGGTTTTTTTTGCAAATCAGAAAAATATGAAGCGGGCAAATCCGTGAACCAACAAATTAAATTGGTGTGGCCTTAAATGTACTTTTTTTGACATACTTTTTAGAGATTCATCTTTATTTATATCAGGTAAAGAAATATTTTTATTTGCTGTGAATATTTTAGCTAAGCTTTCCTTAAGGATATTGAAGTAAAATAGAAAATGTGCAGTGCATGTTAGGTGCCACACTGAAAGGTTGTTTAAATGTACTTGAAAAATCATTCATTTAAAGTGGTTTATAACTTCTACACAGAAATTCACTGTGTTTGAAGAAAGAGATTTGGCCACTCTCACTGGTTGATTCCTTGATAATTTTTGTGTGGGGGGGGGTATTTGATAAACCAGTCTCATAATTTGGAAGACCTTCTTCTCAAATCATCAAGTTTTGTTGAAATGTCTTGAGCAGTTATATTCCTCAGAATCCATTAATTTTCAGGGAAAAAGTCTATAAACCAGGAAATTAAAATATGAGTGGCTTGCGATAATGTACACAATCAGTAACACTCAGTTAGAATGTGACAGCACCCAGTGTTAGCCTTTATTATTGCTATACAAGTGGGCAATAAGTTTAGCATAGCAGGTAAAATATGGGGCAATTAGGACTCAAGTTTTTTTTCTGCATACAGAGAGATTCGTTATTAACACAACAAAAAGTACAGGGACTTTTGTATGGTCTTCTACAACTAAAGGTCTAACAAAGTTAAATACATTGTATATGGATAACTTCATCCTACATACAGAATATATGTATGTGGCAAATTACATACAGAATATATATCAGTGGTAACAATAAGGTTTAACTATTCTCTAACATGTAGTCTCTAATATTGAAACATTCTTTAATGTATTTTCCTATTTAAGTACTGTACATGTACATGTATTGGTTATCTCCCCTAAGAATACATGTACATGCACTGGTGCAGGCAGCATTAAATATTTGGAAATAACCTGCACAGTCTTACCTGCACCACCCTAGATCCTCAGGATAAAGAGATTTTAGAAAGTATGCATCAAACAGGAAACAAGTGGTAACAACTCAAATCATAAGCAAACAAAAAGCCACAAACGCTTGCTTAGGCCACAGCAAGTACATTTTATGGATGACATCCTCCACAGACTCCAAATCTAATGCGAGGGGCGGAAAAAAAAGGTTCCCACATTTTCAGATTTTGGCTCAATCATTGTGGTTTTGATTCAGTAGGAACATCACATAAATTATACACAGCCAGCATCACATATCACTGCATCAAAATGAAAAACAATACTTTTAAATGAGAGCCTTTTCTTGTCTCCTCTCTTTACAGTTATCTGCCATCCACCTTCTGGCATGGCAACATGTATTTTTACCCATATCCGGCATGGTGACCACTGTCAGAGGGCAAAAAGAATTTTTTTTTTCAAAATCAGGCGAAAATTAATGCGCACGCTGATGTCATCCATAAAGATTACTTGCTGTGGCCTTACTCAGAATATGGACCAGTGCAGGTTAGGTACACTGTCAGGTAGGCATCAGAAATACACTGTGTACCTGTCAGTGACCTAACCTGCATATGCTCTTGAAATTTCGAGCCCTGTACATGTATCGTCTTGCTTCTTCATACCTAGCCCGAGGCATTCAGGAATTCTAAGGCTTTGTAGTTTATGCATGCTCTCCAAGCAGAGGTTTGGACTTTAGCCTATATTTGTCATGTTGTAGGCATTTTATCTGACTTTCTTTTTTGTACAAGAATTTTTTAAGGGAGTGGGGTGACTTAAAAAAAATTCCAGTGCAAAAAAGAAATTGGTATCATCATCATCTTAAGCCGTATAAAGATGACTAAAACATAAATAAGCAGAAGGCTAAACCTCTGGACAGTTACTGTTGACCATATAATGTATAGCATCAGCCACCTTACACTACTTCTGATATTTCTTTGTGTCTGAATGAATGTTTTAAATCATGTTCATAATTTTGTGAAATTTGTGATTTTTTTAAGTTACACATTACATTTGCATTACATTGTATGTGAAACTTCAAAAATGCATGGAATTATATCAGAATTTCACCAGAATTTAGCCATTTGTTCCACATGTACATATAGGTCCTTGTAGTGTTACATAAAAACATTGTTTTCTACAAAGGGCAAGTTATCTAACTATCAGTTGCACAGACATGAGATGTTAACATTTTCTTGTTGGTCAACTTCAGCCTATTCCAGAATTGTCAATCTGTGTGTGTGAATAGAAAATAATTTTATACATAGCTACACACAATGCAATTTTATGATATAATGGGCAAAAATTTGAAACAGGTAATACAGTTGATAACAGTTGTGTGTGTGTAACTTATAAATGTTGAATTGTACATAGATCTCTAATTGTTCTCTAATAAGCTAAGTCTTATTGTAGAGAAGTTTACTGTTTGATTTGAAGTTTTATGACATAATTTAAGTGAAATGGAGAAATGAAAATCAGAAAATACTACATGTCTTATTGTTGGATATTAGTCATTTTAAATGACATTCTAGAAGATGAGTTAGATTTTTGCTGCTATTTCTACATGCAGAAACACAATCACTGTTACAGTATTAGAAGAAAGTCAATGGAGAGTTACTGGATTTATCATTCAAGAGCTGCCAAAAAGTGGCACCTAAACTGACTAATACAGTACTATTAATACATTGTACAGTCTGACAAGCTCAGATTGAGATTGAAGAGATAATAAAGAGATTATAAGAATTTTGATCCCCTTCAAAAATATGCTGCATCAAACACCATTGGCGTTTTGTGTGTGTGTACATTATGTATATATGTCAGTGTGTACATGTATGTGTGTGTATATATAAATATGTGACTGTGTGTGTGTGTGTGTGTGTGTCAGTGTGCGTCTGTGTGTATATGGTATTGTGTCTCTGTGTGAGTGTGTGTGTGTATCTGTGTGTCAGTGTGTGTGTGTCAGTGTGTGTCTGTATGTATTTGTGTGTGTGCGAGTGTGTGTGTTCATGTATGTGTATATATGTGTGTGTGTCTGTGTGTATGTATGTAATATTGTGTGTCTCCTTGTAAAATAAGAATATCATTTGACAACTTATTCAGGTGGAGAGGATGATCAATTGATGCTCTTTATACAAATAAGAATCTTTTTTTGCATGACGTAAACATGACAATGTGTGAGTCAATCAAAAATCAACGTAGGTTAGCATCATTTGGCAAAGGTATGGGATTGTTTTTTTGGTTAACTAGGAAATTCTTCACTGGATTATGTCTAATGTAGTAATTCTTTGATCATATTTGGTTTGCATATGTTTTGATATCTCTAGGAGGTATTAGGAGAGCACAAGGCTGCAATGTTCAAGGAGCCAGTCAGTTATAAACATCCACAAAGCCGCACCAACCTGTGTATTAATCTGTTGTCATTGCCAATAACGAAAGAAAAGAAAGAAAGAATGTGATTTTTCAGATTTTCCCGCTTATAGTTCTTCTGAAAAAATCATTCACCGTTCTACACAGATTCATGTATCAAGCTTTATCTTAACAACAGTCCAAGAAAGGACGCAGGGTGTAACATTCTATAGCACGTCGGGGCTTTTGTAGCGTAACGACAG